TCTTCTTTCTCTGTAAAGGAGCCTTTTAATTTGATGTAATCCAGTTATTAAATTTTGCTTTAATTTTCATCCTTGGCTAATTTTTAGCAACTTACAATCTTGCAAGCACCTGTCTGCTCCCATAGCGCCCTGCTGTCCTCTCAGGTCCCCAATATCCTGTTGTTCTCTAGAGAAAAGACCTGGTTGTCTGCACTCCTCCCTCCAGTGTAGTCTGTGGGTATTGGGTCCCCAGTACAGGCATGAGCTCTTCAGTCACCAAAATATAAAAATAAAATGGCTCTGTATTACAGCTCTCTCCCTTTCTTGGGTCAGCTCTTGGGTTGCAGTGATCCGGTCACATTCCAAACAAAAGTACACCCTATCTCTTCCTTGTAAGAATGCTGACCCTCCGGTCATCTACCTACACAAGAACAAATATCCTCTCCATTGATTTGTGTCTTTTTATTTTTTTTTTAAGATTGATTTATTTATTTATACAAGCACTGAGTACAGTCAGAAGCACGGGAGGGCGAGAGAATTCACCAGAGCCAAAGCGGGAGCAGAACAGGCAGACCGACGAAATACACTGCTGAAGGGAGCAGCGGGCATGGCAGGAGGGGTCTGTGCGCCATGTGGGACCCTCACTGGTGGCCGGGGATAGAACCGGTGCTGCAGAGGCTGCGGGCAGCCTCGCAACCCAGTGCTCAACCGCTGTGCCATCTGGGGAGGCCCTTTGTGTCTTTTTAAAGTTGCCTCAGCGCTCTTTTATAGTTATCAGTGTAGAGTTCTTGTATGTACTTTGTTAGATTTATCTACAAGCTTTTCATATTTTTGTTGCTATGGATATGTGTCATTTAACAATATTTTGGTCAGTGATGGTCCCGGTAGGTTGTACCATGTAGCCTGGCTGTGTGGTAGCCTATACAACCTAGATTTGTGTAATTACACTGTTTGATGTTCACATAGTGACAAAATTACCTAATGATGTATTTCTTAGAACATATCCTCATCATTATTCAATTTCTTTTATTGAAAGATGACTATTCAAAATATTTCTTTTTTTTTTAAAGATTTATTTATACAAGAACTGGGGTACAGGCCAGATGCACGGGAAGGTGAGAGGATTTACCAGAGACAGAGCGGGGAACAGAACAGGCAGACTGACAAAATACACTGCTGAGGGGAGCAGCAGGCAAGATAGGAGAGGACCTCTTGCCATGTGGTTAGCTCCGAGGCCGGCAGGGATTGAACCGGCACAGCAGAGGCTGTGGACGGCTTCACAGCGTGGTGCTCAACCGCCTGCACCACCAGGAAGGCCCTCAAAATATTTAAGTTAGATAGTTTGTGCTTTCAAATAATTTTTCCATCTCATCTAAGTTATTAATTAATGGTCATAAAATTGTTAATAACATTTGGATGTTACGTTTTATATAGTTACAGAATCTATATGGACATCACATATCTCATTCCTGGGTCTAAATGACCCATGACTCTATCATCAATGCATTCAAAAATCTTCAGTTTCCAATTATTCTTCTCAGTTTGTAAAAATAAAATTGTATTTTTTTTTTTTTTATATTGGCCTTATATCTGAAATTTTGCTAAACTCAGTTTTTGGTTCTGGTAGCTTTTTTTGGGTAAGTTATCAGGTTTTCTACATAGGTGATCATGTTGTCTGTTAATAAAGATACTTTTACTTTTTTTCCAATTGAAATGTTTTCTGGTGCCTTTTCTTCCCTGTTGCACTGGGTAGAACCTCTAGTACAATATTGAATAGGAGTGATGAGAGTGCATAAAAGGAAAGCATTCAGTGTTTCACTGTAAGTGTGATATTAGCTATAGGTTTTGTAGCTGCATGTAAATGAGGAAATTAAAATTGCTTTCTACCCCTGCTTGGTTGAGTTGTTTTTAAAACCAGGAATGAATGTTCATTTTTGAAAAGTGCTTTTCTCCATCTATTGAGATGATAACATGGATTTACTTTTTTAGTTTGTTAAATGAATTATAGTGATTGATTTTCAAATGTTAAACCAACTTTGCATTCCTGAGGTAAGCCCCACTTGGTCATGATATATTGTCCTTTATACATATATATATATATATATATATATATGACTATATATGTTAAATATTTATATTATATTATATATTATATATTATATATTAAAATATATATATTTGTATTTTACTTGCTAAAATCTTGCTTGAAATTTCTGCATCTATAACTTCATGAGGGTTATTGATCTTTAGCTTTCTTCTCTTCTACTGGTTTTGTCTAGTTTTTGTTTCTGGGTGAGGCGGTCCTAATAGAATGAGTTACACAATATTTTCTCCTTTCAATTAGTTTTTGAAGCATTTGTATACGCTGGTATTATTTTTCTCTAAAATCTTTTGACTTTTCATCAGTAAAACCATTTGAGCCTAGGGTTTTCTGTATGCAAAGGTTTTCAACTATGTATTCAATTTCTTTTCTTGATAGAGGACTATTCGAAGTATTTCTTAAGTTAGATAGTTTGTGCTTTCAAAGAATTTTTTCATCTCATCTAAGTAATTAATTCATGGTCATAAAATTGTTAATAACATTTGGATGTTACCTTTTATATAGCTATAGAATCTGTATAGACATCACATATCTCATTCCTGATTTTGATAACTTGTGTCTTCTTAGATTTTTTTCCCCCTCAACCTTCTGACTAGAGTTTTATCAATGTTTTTATCCAGAGAACTGTATTAAGGTATCATTGATTTTCTCTAGTTTTCTGTTTAATTGGTTGCAGCTCTGATTTTTATAACTTACTTTCTTTCACTTAATTTGAGTCCAATTGTGTTTGGCTTCTAGTTTCTCAAGATGGAAGCTGAGTTCATTGATTTGAGACTGTTATTAAAGCATCTGGATTATAAACTTGCCCCTCAGTATTATAACAATATCCCACAAATTTGATGTGTATATTTTATATTTGTTCACTTATTTAAAAATATTTTTAATTTCATTTTGATTCATTTTTTATCCATAGATTATATGGAAATGTGTTACTTAGCTTATAAATATTTGGGGATTCTCGGAGATCTTGCTGTTATTAATTTCTATTATGTCAGAGGACATAATTGTATGAGTTGAATTCTATTAAAATTATTGAGACTCGTTTACGATCCATATTATGGACTATCTTGCTAAACATTCCTCTTTCAAAGTTTGATTGTTGGGTAGAATGTTTTACAAATGTGAATCAGGTCAATTTGATAGTGTTAAGATATTTTACATTGTTACTGATTTTCTGTCTACTTTTTTATTAGCAGAGGAGTGTTGAAATCTCTGACTATAATTATGGATTTGTAGATTTCTCTTTGCGCTTCTTACAATTTGTGCTTCATGTATTTTGGAGATATGTTATCAGAAGCAAAAATATTTAGAATTGTTATAGCCTCTTAGTGAACTGACTCCGTATTAATTGAAATTCTTCATTCTTGATAATATTGTTGCTTTGAAATTTACTTATTTGATCATTAAAATAGCCAGTTGAGCTTTCTCTTGATTAGAAGTAGCACAGTAACTTTTTCTACTCTTTCTTATTTAAAAAAATATTTTATGGTAGGGCATTCTCCTCAAATCAACCTGAGGGTGAGTGTAACTTCTAATTTTGATTATAATATAAGCCTAGTATTTAAGGGCGTGTATGTGCATGCTTTTGTATATGTACATCAGTATGTGGTTATGAGTGAATTCTTAAATTTTTTTTGTTCTCTTAATATGTCTCATGTATTCCTGGTTCATAGTAGGTGCTCATTAAATATTTGTTGGCTTGAAAGTTTCTGTATACTATCCACAGAAAGAAAAATTGACACTCTATTCTTTCATTTTCTCTTTGTATTTAAAGTTTATTTCTTATAGGTTGCATTATTGTTGGGTTTTGGTGTTTAATAATTACTAACTTTCAATTAAGGTATTCAGATTTTTTTACATTTAATGTGGACATTAATATGGTAAGACTTGATTCTGTCATCTTATGCAAAGTTTGGTTGCTGGGTAGAATTATTCCCCCTGCTCTTTGCACCCTTTTTCCTGTTCTTATGCCTTTTTGGATTAATTAAATCTTGTTTATTTTTTATCTCCTTTATTTTATAATTAGCTATAATTCTTTTTTTATTATTTCAGTGCTTTATTTAAGATTTATGGTGTAATCTTTAAGTTACCAATCTACCTTACAATGATGATATGCCTTTTTATAGAGTATAAAAACTCACAAGTGTACTTTCCATTTCTCTCTCCCAAACTTTGTACTATATGTTGTCACATAGATTTATTTTATTTGTATTGTAATCCCCACTTTATATTGTTATTATATTTGTTTAAAAGTCCATTGTCTTTTAAAAGATTTTACATATAAGAAAAATTCTCATATATTTACCCATGTGATTACCATTTTCAGTTCAGATCACTCCTTTCAGTAGATCTAAATCACTTCTGGTCTCATTTTCCCTCTTTTTGAAGAACTTCATGTGACTTTTTTGGTGCATGGGTTGCCTGGTGATGGATACCTTCAGTGTTTACATTTTAGAAGGTATCTTTATTCTTTTTTTTGTTTTATTGATTTGTTTCATTGTCATTGACTTCTGCTCTTACCTTTATTTTACCTTTTCCTTCTTGCTTTGGCTTTACCTTGGTTTTATTTTTCTAGTGTGTTAATGTAGGAATTTAGACTACTGATTTGAGATCAATCTTCTAATATAAGCATTTGGTGCTGTAAATTTTCTTCTCACCAGTGCTTTAGCTGTATCTGACATATTTTGATATTTTGTTTTTTATTTTCAGTTCTATGTATATTTGAATTGTCTTTGTGAGTCCTCTTTAACCTATGGATTATTTATGTGTGTACTTTTTAATTTTCAAGTATTTGGAAATTTTCCTGGATGGTATCTGTTACTGTTTTTCTTTTTTAATTATTTAAGGTTTGTTTTATGGTTTAATATGTAATCTATACTGGTGAGTGTCCCATGAGAATTTTTAAAAATATATATTCTGCTCTTTTTTTTGGGCCTGTTGTTAACACGATAGGGTACTTCATGCATGGGGTTTGTAAGGAAGGAGATAACTGTCGCTACTCGCACGACCTTTCTGACAGCCCGTATGGTATAGTGTGCAAGTATTTTCAGCGAGGATACTATATTTACAGAGACCGCTGCAGATATGAACACAGCAAGCCATCAAAACAGGAAGAAGCGACTGCTGCAGATCTAAGTGCAGAATCATCTGTTGCTGCTTCAAGTCTCTTATCAGTAGTTGGACCAGTTGCTGAAATAAATATGGGCAAGGCTGAGTCAAGAAATTCAAACTTTGCAACTGTAGGAGCAGGCTCAGAAGACTGGGTGAATGCCATTGAGTTTGTTCCTGGGCAGCCCTACTGTGGCCTTACAGCCCTTTCCTGCACTGAAGCGCCCCTGCAGGGCTCAGTGACCAAGGAGGAACCTGAGAAAGAGCAACCAGTAGGGGAAACAAAGAAGCAACTTTGCCCTTATGCTGCAGTGGGAGAATGCCGGTATGGGGAAAACTGTGTGTATTTCCACGGAGACTCCTGTGACATGTGTGGGCTGCAGGTCCTCTATCCAATGGATGCTGCTCAGAGATCATAAAATCTTGCATCGAGGCCCATGAGAAGGACATGGAGCTCTCGTTCGCCATGCAGCGCAGTAAGGACATGGTGTGTGGGATCTGCATGGAGGTGGTCTATGAGAAGGCCAAACCCAGTGAGCGCCGCTTTGGGATTCTTTCCAACAACTGCAGCCACACCTACTGTCTGAAGTGTATTCGCAAGTGGAGGAGTGCTAAGCAATTTGAGAGCAAGATCATAAAGTCCTGCCCAGAATGCCGGATCACATCTACCTTTGTCATTCCAAGTGAGTACTGGGTGGAGGAGAAAGAAGAGAAGCAGAAACTCATTCAGAAATACAAGGAGGCAATGAGCAACAAGGTGTGCAGGTATTTTGATGAAGGATGTGGGAGCTGCCCATTTGGAGGGAACTGTTTTTACAAGCATGCATACCCTGATGGCCATAGAGGGGAGCCACAGAGACAGAAAGTGGGAACATCAAGCAGATACCGGGCCCAACGAAGGAACCACTTCTGGGAGCTCATTGAGGAAAGAGAGAACAGCAACCCCTTTGACAACTATGAAGAAGAGGTCGTGACCTTTGAGCTGGGCGAGATGTTGCTTATGCTTTTGGCTGCAGGTGGGGACGACGACCTGACAGACTCTGAAGACAAGTGGGACTTGTTTCACGACGAGCTGGAAGATTTCTATGACTTGGATCTATAGCAGCTTCGTGTGGCGTGCGAGCTGGGCCGCAAGCCCGACAGTGGCCGTCCCCTGTGCTGGTGTGGCAGTGCCCATGGCTCTCTCCTAGGCAGGCCTATCAACTCCAGGTGCTGTCGTAATAATTTTTACCCAGGGCCTGTCTCCTCAATTCCTCACCTTTCCCCAAGGAGTGTGTTGTTTTCTCTGTTTAAAAAAGTTACAAAAATAAATCTTGAAGTTAGTGTTTTTGTAACACGAATTTAACTGTCAGACAGTAAGTGTAGGTTTGTCACGTCATCTGTTTGCCACCAGATTCACACAGGAGGGTAGTGCTTCTGGACTCCCACACTCACGTTGGACCCCAGGTTCAAAAGGAGCAGCGTGGACCCTGCTCTGGGGTAGTAGGGTGATGGGTCAAGGCTCTGGACTGGCAAGTCCCCTTCAGCTGCAGGCAGAAGAGGTGGCTACTGGAGGTCTCTGGTGAAATCTACACATCTGTGTTTTTATATCTGCTCCTCTCCCTGTAACACCCACCCTGTGCACTTGTTCTGTGGTTTTGGTCTCTTGTTTAATTGCACACAAGTAATACTACGGGGTAACCAGAACCAGGTGCGAATGTGTTGAGAGATTTTTACCAGGTTAAATGATAGGAAAAGTTGTGAAAGACAGCATGAGCTGGTGGCCTGGAGGCGGCGCAGAGCTGGAAGTCCGCTCCTACGGACTGGCAGGCGTGGTGAGCAAGTGAGAGTGTGGTGAGCCTCTTGCCCCTCCCTAGATGCAGTGTTCTTAGCCTTCGTGGTAAAACTCGGTTTAGTGGTTTCAGCCTAGTGTGGCCAATAGATCTTAAAGGACAAAGCAGTACATTGGTAGTTTATAGAGCAGTGCTAGCTCGGTCTGCCTATACATAAATGGGCTTAGCCATAGCGGTGGATTCTGGTTATCCCATATATTGACACAAACTGGGTTGTGGATATAGTTGTTTGTCTCATGATCCCCCAGCCTTTCCAGCCCAGGCACTTTTTGAGAAGCCTTTTGTCCTTATTTGAAGGATTTTGTTGTTGGGTTTTTGTGTGTTTGTTTTTGTGGCTATTTGCCTCATTCCATCCCTGAGCGTTGCAGGTAGACAGGTGTGAGGCAAAACTAGGTTCTCAGGTGTTCCTTGTAGTGGAGTGATTGGTTTGCAGTAATGAGTCACACTTTCCCACTGACGTGGGCAGGGGTTTGGTAATCCACGAGACAAGCTAAATTTCAGTCGTTAGATCTCTTGATGGGGTAAGTTTAGCTTTATGTTTTATTGCTGTTTCCTCCTGAAAATAACTTGGAGATGCTCCTGATTTGTCCACCTACTGCTTTGCTCCCTTGGATCCCACCCATTCTTCCACTTGGAGAAAAAAGTCATTGTTGCAGAGGTCTCTGTATTTTGCACCTGCCCTTTTGTAAGAAGCACTTTTCCTAAATAAAACAATAAAAACTATATATATATATATATATATATATTCTGCTAAAGTGCTATACATATTTAGTCCATTAGATCTTGTTGGCTGATTTTATAATTTGTTTCTTCCAACTTGTTGATTTGCTCTCTAATAGTTTTATCAATTGCTGAGAATAGGTGTTAAAGTTCTCAACTATATTGTGGATTGACTATTATCTTTCCACTCCATAAGAGTTTGCTTTGGTGTATTCTGATGCTCTGTTGTATAGTGCACACATATTTGGGGTCTTTGGTTCTTCTTGGTAGGTTGATCTTTTCTTCATTATGTCCTATATTCCTCTGTCTCTGATAACCTTTCCTCTGAAGTCTACTACTTTATCTGAGATTGATATTGCCACTACTGTTTTTGTTCTTCAGATTAGTGTTAACATGATATATCTTTTCCCATACTTCCTTTTAACCTAACCATATTGTTGTGCTTTAAATGAAATTTTTGTCTTACTTAGTATGTTGTTGGGTTATTTTGTTGTTGTTGTGTTTTTGTTTGTTTGTCTAATCCACTGTGACTGATAAAGGTAGAAGTCTAAGTTATTGGCTTGCCTTTCTAATTTAGGTAGTGGCGAGACAGTAGTTTTTTCTAGGGTATTTGATTAGTGTGGAACAGTTATTGTCTAAAAATTTTCTGTCTTGCTAGGCTGCTCATTTTTTCCTTTGGTTAGAACAGGAAGACTTTTCTTTGCATTTTTGTTTGGTTGTTTGTTTGCCTCTTATTCATTGGCATTTCCGGATTGCCAGTTTCTCCTGCAACAAGTCTAGGATTTATTGGGAAAATAGAAAATTCACCTCCCAGAGTCCCTAGCTGATGTGTAACCTTTCAGAATTGTCTGTTTGTTTTATATATTATGTTTCATATTTTTAATGTACTTAGTGGGAAGAGTTGAGAAAAACATTTCTACTTCATATTTACCACAGCAAAATTCTTCTTCATTATTTCTGAGAAGATAGTTTACTGGATATAGAATTCTAGGTTGACAATTTTTCCCTACTTTTAAGTACTTTAAAGACAGCTCCATTATATTCTTAATTTTTGTTTCTCTGTTTAGAATGTGTCTTTTTCCTGATTTTGCTCTGCTCTGGTGTGATTTTCTTTTTTTTCTTTTTTTTTTTTTTTTTTTTTGAGTGTGTTTGAAGTTCATTGAGATTCTTGGACCTGTGGATTCATATCTTTAAACAGTTTCACTTACAAAGATGATTCAACCACATGGAAGGCAAATTTTAGACTCCTAATGGCTGTTTTGTTTCTGTTTTTACATGAGATAGCTAAAACTTTGGCCTCTTTATTGCTCTTAGGCCATATATTTTGCTTAAAAACACATACACACAGACACACACACAATATTACCAATAAAGAGTTACACAAACTAAATTTCTTCCTGATCTCTAAATGCTCATGGGCGGCCAACTTCCATAGTATGTGGCACACAGCACGATGTAGTTAGTCTCACAGAAAGTACTTGTGTAACAACACAAGAAAGGTATTTGCTTCTCATTACATAAACATTCCCTGAACTTATCTAATCAATGCACTTATTTTTAAATTAACCTATGTATGAAAGTACTATTGTATTTGTTGGGTACCAGTCTCATTTGATCATAAGCAAAATATATAGCAATAATTCAAAATTAGAAAATGGACTGAGTGCTAAGTCTGTCTATTGCTCTTGCTATGTAAGAGTTGCCAGTCTGATATGAATATCTAAAAAAGAATGATAGGAATTATAGGGTTTTTCTTGATTATTTAGTAGGCATCCCTTATGGTTTGTTCATCAGATACACAAACACTTTTCCCCACAGTGTTCTTTTGTAATTAGTGGGGGCATCATTTGATTACTTCTGACAAGAAATACCCCCAAATGGGAGTAGAGGGCCAAGAAATCCATCTACCTACTTAGTGACAACTTGTAAAGGGGCAGGGCTAAGAATTTTCTGGCTGTCCCATCAAATCGACATGGTACAGAGACTATACAGGAAGTTGAAGGAGCAGTGTCTGGTATCATCCCCATGTAGATTTCAATGAGACATTCCTTGAATGTAGGAAAGGAGGTGAATTGGAGCTTTGTCACCATTCTACCATCAAATTTGGAATTTAACACTCCCATTAAGCCAGTAAAACAGAAACCTATTGCAAATATGGCTTTTATTCAAACATTGATAGTTCTCTGTTATTCTTTATTTTCTTTTCTTGCCTCTTCATTTTTGTTGTCATCCAACTGACTCTGTTGTTATTTCCTTCTTCTTTCCCAATTTTGTACTGTGTTTTTCCGCTTCCATTTTCTGTCTCTTGTACTGTACTGTGTCCATGAACATGGCCCTCATCTCACACTTCCATATCTGTACTCCTACCTGCCATGGAGAAAAAGAAGTGAGCACAACCTCCTTGGATTCCATAACCACCGAGAATACAAGGACTCTATGACTGCTGTTTTTAACTTGTCTTTTAACTCTGATGTTTACCAGGCCTCATATTCTTTATTTAGTAGGCATAATATATGATTTGTTCATCAGATACACAAACACTTTTCTCCACAGTGTTCTTTTGTAATTAGTGGGGGTATCATTTGATTACTGCTGACATCAATGGACCACTTCTTTTTCAGATGATAGAGATGCCTTCAGGCAAGGGAAACTTGTCTTCAGGAGGAGAATTTGCAAACATTGGGAGCAAGGCTTTGAACTAGGCAGACTTGGGTTGAACTCTGTGTAATTGTGGAAATGTTATTTAGCCATTTTGAGCCGCTAACATATAAGATGGGCATTATAACCATGCCTACCTCATAACATTGATATGTGGAATACATAAGTAAATGTGGAATATAATTAAATACACAAAAAATGGTAGCTGTTGTTGGCTTTTGAAAAGTAACATTTTAAGGACACTTTTAGATTCATAGCAATCTAAAGAGCAGAAGGTACAATATGCTCACTGACACGACAGAGGCACAGCTTCCCTTATTATCAAAATTCCACCACCAAAGTGATGAAACTACATTGGCACATCATTTCCACCCAAAGTCTGTAGTTCACATTAGCCTTTATTTTTGGTGTACATCGTATGGATCTTGATAAATGTATAATGGCATATATCTACCATTAAGATAGCATACAGAATAGTTTATGGCCCTAAAACTTTTCTTGCTTTATTCATCTCCCCTTAACCCCTAACCTCTGGCAACCACTTATCCTTTTACTATTTTTAAAGTTTTGATTTTCCCAATGTCATATACTTGTGGTCATAAGACATATAGCTTTTATAGCTTGATTTTTTTCAATTACAATTATAATTAAGGGTCCTCATTTCTTTTTAATTTCTTTTTATCACTGAATAATATTCCATTAATGAATGTCCCATGTTTTATCTTCATTGTTTTCAAATGTTGGCAGTTATAAAGAAAGTTGCTATAAAAATTTGTGTGCAGATTTTTGTGTGAATATGTTTTTGACTCCTTTGCATAAATACCAAGGAGTATGATTTCTGTATAGTATGGTAAGAGTATATTTGGTTTTGTGAGAAATTGCCAAATTGTCTCCTAAAGTGTCTACCATTTTGCATACCCACCAGCAGTGAATCAAAGTTCATCTTCT